GTAATGTGTGACGGCTAATGATACTGTCTGCTGGCCCAAACCTCACTAGGCGGAGAGCGGCTCGGACCCATGACCAATTAGTGGAAAGTGAACTGCCTAAGCCAGCGATCCACAACTCAAGTTAAATATCATTTCCTGCAGACGAAAAACAGAAGATCAAATTCAAGTGAACCTGTGAGGATATAATAACAATATCAACGTGCAATAAATATGTAATTTGAAAAAATTAGTCCCTTCGATGAATTCAAATAATCTAATACGAAGATGAACGTTATCTGAGAAGTGCGATGTATTCACGCGATGCATTTCGAACAGTCTCATCACACAACAGCTTCTCAAGGCCTTTTATTTGTCCTTTCAGTTACTAGTAAAACATACAGCTTCAGCAGCATGTCACCATTTCACTCTCTTCTCTACAGTCTTTCAAACTGAATCCAACACTACCCACAAACTTTCATTTCTTCCTCACACAATCTCACCCATACCACCCTCCAATCACATGCCCAACTAGTCCTCTCCCACTCAAATTACACTCCACGGTCTACCATAGACCGTGATGTCCCCAAACAGTCTTCTCAATACATGTACAATCAAATCAAATCCATCTCCACTTTCTCCTGCATATTTGTTGAGCAATAGCACCTTGCTTCGTTGGTCCATCGACAGGACAGGGTTCCTTGTTGCTCGTTATCTCTGGCCAACTGATCTGATCTTCAGTATCCAGTGAGAGTAGGAGGCAGCTGATGATGTACGTCTGTATGTGGTTGTTGAAAATGCCTTTCGTAAGGTGCCAATTCTCTCAACCATCACACAGAAGAACTGACTAGACTGACATTAGTGTTGAAAATCCGGATCTTGTCCACACTTCATGCTGAGTGCAGTAGATCTCTACACTGATTCCACATCGATGAAGGATGGTTTGTATTGCTGTCTTTCAATCCTGGCTTTTATGTCGTCATCTGTGCCGTCACCGCCGCCTGTATTTGAGATGATGCTGCCTTGTCTAGGTGGCAGGTGAAAGAGACAACTTGATTTAGATCTCTCCCACTGATGTTGATTGGTGGTTGTTGTTGATGCTGTTGTTGTTTGGGTATCATCATCACCTCTATCTTCCCTATGGTTACCTGAACTAGGTCTGATTTTCGCTGTCTCGCCTTTTTTGTCAACTTGTTGGTTTTTACATATACACCTCCGAGTTCACGTGACAAAACATTCGAGACATTCAGAGTCATCACTTAGCTTTCCATTGTGAATCACTTGCCACGTAGCATCATGTAACATATAGCTGTCGAATGAGGTTGACTTATCTTTGTGGCGATAAAAATTGTAGTGTTGAAGCAGCTGCCTGCAAAATTACTTCTCGGTCGACGCCTCAATCGAAGGCTTTTTCAAAGTCAATGAGGTTGAGGTAAGGTGAAGATTTGACTGGCATTGTATGCTCCGTTATGTGACGATGTGAATAGCAGCGTAGCATTGCATTTTGACCCATATATGATTTGTTTTTTCTGGTGATTTTGAATGCAGAACATTTTTAACTTTCTCCAGTATGATGCGGCATAATATTTTGCTTGCTTGGAGTGGACAGAAGCATGATGCCGTGTATGGGGTAAAACAAATTAATCATGGTAATACAGGATTTCGAAAATAAGGTAGAATAATAAACTTTCACACCTCCTTTGGCATTAAAATGACATAAAGAATACAAGGGTTGGTTTAACGTATAGACAAACTGTTTTCGAATACGCAAAGGGGGTTTGAATTTTCGCACAGACCATTTTATAGGAGCCGTTCAGACCATATACTTAGGTTCATTGAAGCCTTAGCTATACGAAAATCCGAAACCATTTTGCGTATTCAAAACAGTTTGGTCTTACGTTAAACCAACTTCGGTATTCTTTAACCCTTATTTTCAAATTCCTGTATTATCTTAGTTTATTTATTTTACCCCACCCTATTTTCATTCCTTATATAAAATGCCTTGACAAGTTATTGTGTGATCAGATTTTTCGAAATGTATTGCGAGAATATATGACATTTCTCAGATTACCTCCGTCTTCGTATATATATGTAGTTATTTAAAAAAATTTTTATCAGCCGTTATACTAAACCATAGTAAGTTGAACCCAATCTATGAGCTACAACTAACAGCTATGGTTTTACACTGAAAATTTTAACAAATTTAACATTATATTAGGTAACTGTTGGCGTTCTAATGAAATCAGTTCCCAATGTTCCCTTATACTGAGTAATTGAGAGATTTGAAAAAGTGGTTTTGCATTAATTTCGCGTCATAAACAAAAAGGTCACAAACTGTTCTTGATCCTTTGAATTTGGGAGGGTTTGTGGGACTTAAGGGTTTTTTGAAGTTGGTATTCATCGTGGACTGACATCAATTGGAGGAATACTGGAAAACCTGAAGGAACTGGACAGCTTCTTTTTCCTAATATGGGACTCCTCAGCATTGCACACCCACAGCTGTTGATCCGCTTAAAAGGAAAACATTCATCTACAGTGTCAAAATTCAAACCAGCAGATATACAAATGTTTTTTTATAAAACCAAGTTGACTGGACAGAATTTTAATAAGCTTAAAACACACATCGTATCATTACGCATCGTCAGAATGCAATTAGGATCTTCAATCCAGTTTTCCTTTTGCTGTAAATCGAACTGCTGTTCTTCCAAGAATTATCTGAATGTCTTTAAAAACGCGAAATGTTAAAAAGTTATTCAAAAAAATTAACATTTAGATTATGATAATAATAATGCAAATAATATTCTCTCTGCCTGCACTGACAGGAACTAATAACTGAGTAGATATAAATTAAATGTCTTTCCAACATTTTTAACTAAGTTAAAACAGACAAGTAAAGTGTCCACGTAACACGCGGTATAAGCGATGACATGTGCTGCTAATTCAAGTAACTGTTCTGGCTGTCCTCTTGAAAGTGGAATTTATTCAAAGAGTCTGCTATATCAAATGACTGAATGCAGTTCAACTAGTGTTCATTAGAATTAAACACATTATTTTCGTAATCATTATTCACTAGTTTAAAAATCCTAGTTAAATCATGAAGTAAAAGACATTCAGTGAAGAACTGGTCTTTTTAGATATGTCACTCTGAATTTGTACAGTTGCGTATAAATGTTAAATCTACTTGACAATATGAATGTTTCACAAAATATTTTTAATAAGATTAAGTTTTGATCACAGATCGTAAGGTTTGAACAAGAACTACCTTGTATGTTAAATTATAATCGGAAGCAAACTTATCAAGATTGAAACAATAATAAACTACCAAGTTGAATGATGCTATATGATTCAAGAAATAAATGGATGCAATAAGTTATCCCAGTTTTAAGAGTGGGACAGTGTCGTAGGTTAGATGGTGTAATCAGTTAGCAAAAGAGTGGGAAGACAATGATGGAAATAAATTGTGCTTACATAACAGGTTCACTGTCCCCTGAGTGACTGGACAAACTTCCTTCATTTACAAAGTTTAGGCTTCTAAGTCTGAACTACTATAACTTTCTTAATTTGAAAAAAACAGATACAAGCCTTTCATGAGGTTAGTTTTGAATCTTTATATAGCACTTAGGCTGTTTCTCAGATGAATCTGACAGGTATTTTCATTTTTATTTTGTTGAGCAAGGTCGGTTTATACTCAAACTAACATTAAGAAGGTGAACACAAAGTTTAGGGCTGGTAATTTAACACAAAACACTAAGGCGACCCAAAAAGTTAGTTTATTCTTCACGCAGAAGAAAAGCTTTGAGTATATATAGTAAGTCAGTCTGAGTTCCGCAGTTTAGAAATCCTTTATCGGTAAGTACACTAGATGGTTGCTTATTATTTCTGCTGTGTACTTTCTACTGAGTCATAAATCCATACACAAACTGTAAAAGTACAATGATTAGCAGGTTTTGACTAAACATTATATAGTAAAACTTATAGAATAGACATTTTCAATTCAAGCACTATGAAGTGAATTTACTTCACATTCCAAAGAGTCAGAAATGCAAACACTGCAGATTGTTTACATAACAAATGAATCAGATTTCGTTTTACTTGATTTATTAGACCAATTAGACAAAGAAACATTACCATATTTTAAGTGATGTTTTGGGCACAATTTATTTACATAGTTATACCAAGTTAACTTTTTACTGCTCAAGTTGAAATCATGTTAAGATGACATTTTATTTCGTGTCTAAAGTGATTTTAACTATAAACGTTCACATTTCTCATAGAAAGACCTTTTAAGAGCTCAACTGCTTCATCTTTGTACCTTTATATTTCGAAGGGAAATATGGGGAGAATTATTCTTCAGAAGTGTTGGTTTCCTTGCTTGCAAATATAATTTAGGAACAAAATGTTCAACAGTGAACCCAGAGCTATATCAACTTTTACCTGTATATTTCATGATTCAAACATGCCTGAATGTTCAAGATGCTTTTCAGTCATTGCTTCTCGAAGATAATGCTTGGGTATCCTTACATTAAGATCACATATGTAACGCGTTATCTTAGTAAATGGGATGCTTACAAATAATAAGATTACATCTGTAAAGAAAATAGTCCCGTTACCTCAATTAACATTATGAATAAAATTGACGAAATCAAAAATTTGATGGAATGAACGAATTGATATTTATTTTCTTATGCAATCCGAGCTAACCACTGGTTAATACTATGGTGAAGTGATTCTGTCATGTTACAAAGAGGGAGCAGAGGTGTGCCCACTGTGTTCGCTAAATGTCGTTTTAATTATTTAGTAATTCTGTTACTTCATTATAACTTGGAAGTATGTCGTGAATTTTTTAATTCGATGAAATAACTTTTTCAGAGACACATACCAAAAGAATTCCCTTGAAGTCAATTAAAACACTGATTTCTAATTTATTTAACTTCGGTAATTAATTAGTTTCTTCATATCAATACTTTTCACTGAATTTTGATTCAGTGTCATGCAATGTGTTCTACTTTTAAAATATTTTGTAGATAAAAAGTGTACAAAAGAACAAACAAACAATGCTTTAAAATCAATTGCAGCCTTAACAACTGGTTTTATGGGTGGTCTGGTTGGTGCACCATCACATGTTCAAGGTGTTTTATCACGATATAGCAGGAGCAAATTTTCTAGCACACAAAATTTTACACAATCAACCTTCTCACAGGTAATTTAAATATATTCCTTGTCTTATAAATAAGAAAGTATCATGTCTCTATCTAGTATGTGTTAACTGTCCACTAGCATTTTTGGGGGCATTGACCTCGAATATGCCATTTCACAAAAGTTGGTAATTAAAGAAATAAGTCGCTAATTGTTCATGCACTGAACCGGATATATTCGTTAATGGTATTATTCTAGCTTAAATAATTGTAAGATTATCATCCTGTCAATGTCATGGGTAACCGATAAAACGCACTACTGGACCACATAGTTATTTCCAGAAAACAGTTAAGGTAAATGCTAGTTTTCAAAGGGTTTCTCATCAGGCTTTGGAATTACGTTTATAAACTAATTGACGCCGATATTTAGTTATAAATCGCCAGTATGCAAGCTATACTAGGAAAAAATTGAAGTTATTCACATTTCAGATAGAATTTCACTGACTTTTGTTAGATATTTTACATGATATACCAGCATAAACTTATCGAATGGAACCGTCCACAGCAACTAAATGTGGTTACCAAAGTTAAATTAACTAAGTCGCAACTTACTGGATGAAGAAGCTATAATTTACTAAAAAAATACACAATTCTAGTCGACGGATCTAAGATCTATATTTGACTGATTACGTCAACTGATGGTTATTTTACACAGCAACATGACAAACTTTCGAAAATGTAGATAATAAGGTTCCAAACTAGCGGATGAAAGAAAAGTGTTCGCCCTGAGTGGTGACGGACATAATATTGATCTCTGAAGGTTTCGTAAGTGGGTACTGTTGAAGAGTCCCATACAAGGATAGAACAGCTTTTCAGTCTTACCAGGTTTGTAATCTCGTCTCAACTGATTTCACTCCGCTGTGAATGCCACGTTTGCATGCTCTTGCTACATTCTTGCTACCACCAGTCAATAAATGAAATCGGTTCTCTGTCACATTTCACCATATTATTGAAAAACAGTAGGATTAATGCAGTTCAAAAATCCCATTGAGAGTAACGGTTTTTCAGATGCTAGTCATAATCCAACGGCATAGAAGACCAGTGACTTCTTTGGTTATAAGTAGTACTTTTCTACTTTTTGTTACAACAGTGATGCGTATCCTAAACTTTTGAGGTTGGTCTAATAATTTTAAATAATCTGCACAAAACCCAGTGACATGTCGTCGGAAAAGTTATTATCACATTACACTTTCAGCTGAAAATTTTCTTACTTTTCGTTTTACTGATGAAGAGAAAGTACTTTGCCATTATAGAGCTTTTTTGAGATGGCACACAGGGATGCAATGTTTGTTTCACTGGATTATGTTTCAAGAACAATCTATTGTCAATGATCGCAACAAGGTGTTCCAATAACCCATAGGAACCGACTGTTGCCATCCTTCCTTTTCTCATTCGTTAGTATTGATATGGGCAAACTTTCCTGCATACTTCACCACAATTAAAAAAGGTTTATTCAATAAAAACATATTTAAGGATCATATTGTCTCTTCATTCAACTACATCAGCTTTTAAGGACATGATCTCACATCGTCATGTGATACTGTTGAAGAGCTCTCAATTTTCCAGGTAACTTACCTCGCGAGAGTCTATCGCTCTAAATTAAGCTGTCTGTTTGCTGTGATAATCTGCGATAGTCGCATTCCTTGTACTCTTTTCCAACCCTCAATCAACCTTAGGTATTCGGTAGATTACAATTAAGTAGAATTCTCAAGCCAACAAACAATTTCCGTTGTGTGGGTTTGCATGTGTAGATTTCACAGTACTGCTCATTAAGAAACCTACATGAACTTTTTTGAGCTACTTTCTTGTATGGTAACAATAAACTACCCTAGAATCCAGTGTTAAATTATGCTTCAGTTTACTTTCAAATAACTATCCCTCCTTTATTTATGACTTCTTACGAGTTTTTTAATAAGTTTCAGGAGAGAGATGTCATGTATCACCGTTTTTTACATATTTCAATTCATCTGGATTTTCTGACTAAATGATAGAATAATTGAGTATTACACCAAGCCTGTTGTAGTAAACATAAGCTGAAGTGATCTAAATATCTCTCAAACTTGATGATTTTTTCCATATATTTTTGCTTAAACCACCTTGTTTTCTCCTTACTTTGCTATCTGACCCCAATCACTGTTGAGTTTGTGAGCGTGAACTCACTGTAGGATGTTCCGATTTCAACACCGCGAATTATGTATCAACGCATCAATGTGTTGCAACTCGGTATATCAGTAAGAGAATCTCTATTTTACATTTTGCTGGGGAAGTTTTTCATAGTATGAAGACTGAATACGCTAGAAATTACTGAAACTCTAAAATTGTTTCTACAGCTGGTATCATCGCTATATTGTTTTTTAAATCTCTCTAAGTATTTGGTCAAATTCTAAATGACGCCAGCGGTATGTTTATTAGCTGATTACCAAATGATCTACATCAAATCAAACCTTTTTCCGATCTTGTTTCTTAATATCATTTGGTCATTGTTCCACTTCACTGAAACTGTGGAAAGAGATTCGTTTCTAACAGAGCGTCATGCCAATGTCAGATACTTTAGAGCAATTCACATGCTGTGGTGCTTCTCAGCTATCAGTCATATACTGATAACGCAGTTTAGGAACTCAGTGTAGTACTATAAATTCCACTGAGACAACTACCTGAAAACAACTCACCAAACCACTGAGTATCCCTCAGAGAGGGCCTGAGATATCTTACTTAAATGAAACGAAATGCTAAATATTAGAAACATATATGACAGAAAACTGAGTCCAGTATATCTTCTGGCTAACAAATTCACCAACCAACCATCGCTTCTTCCCGGAGTATCTAGTGAAGTTCTTTTGAACCGGTACTAAATTTGAGGACTAAGGACCTTGGCGCTTTTCCTCAATTAATCCATTCAAACATTTCGATTAGTTACTTTGCTTGTATTGCTAGCCATTATGTAAATAAGTTTCCTTTTGCTTTTATTTTATATGAATCAAATGAATTACTGAGTGAACTTGACAGAGAAAAATGTACATACGGTTGACATAGCTGTCTTTCATTTTCTTTTGTTAAGGCAAATTTTCCTTTGAAGTTTTATTGGTGGCTTTTCCACAAACGACTTTTGAGGGCATTCTTTGGTAGAGGAAGTTGTGCCATTACACAGATGCAAGCTTGGCAAACATTAAGTCAAACTTATTGTCCTAATGAGCCTATTCTTCAGTCATCGAAGTTTTGTTGCTTGTGGGAATACTTTCAGCTTCATCAGTTGTACTTGGTTTGTATCAGTTTATTTAAGTGGGTAAACTAATATTCGTTTCGTAGGATAAACATTTATAGTTCATCATGCTTTGAAAAATGTATCTTCAGAATACACCCATAGTAAAATACAGACAGGTTACGAGCTGCTGTTTGCATGTACGATGCTTCCTTTTTATGCACTGATGACGACCTATAGATTAGCATTGTTAGGTTTGATAATCGGAATTCCAGTTCAGTAGACATCTCAGCCCAAACCGCCACATACTGAGGTAAAAATAACTATCAGTATTCTTAGAGTATTAGGAATGTCCACTAAATATATCCCAAAGATAAATCAGAGGAAGCTGACGACGAAGTAAAATCTTTTTCATCAGTACCATAGGCGAATTATTTTTAACCAAATATGATTAAAAGTCCACTAAATTTGAAGAACTTATTTTACCTTTCCACATTGTTCAGTCCGAATCACTCAATGTTTTATCCAAATATCAGCGTGAATCAGTGCCAAGGTTAGTGCATATTCAACTTCCTGGAAACAAGAGTTTAAAAGACCATCAAATATGTAACAGTTATGGAACTAACTATCCCTACAGTGCAAGTGACCAAATGTCACATGGAATCAAAAACTGTAATTCTACGCTATCGGCATGTGAAGAACAAGCAAACTTGACAAACTTTTGAGCAGACCAAGAGCATTAAGTTTAAATCCCCAAGAACACTGGAGTTCACTTCAAGATAAACAATTTCGATCCTTATTGTTACAGAGTGAATCTACTAACAGATTAAACAAAGATTCAAGTGCGATGAAATATACTAATGATGAAGATATTTTGTGTGACAAGGCAGAAAAGTAAGTAAATGTGCTGTTCCTACATATTAGACTTTCCCTGATTATCTAGCTGTGACAAATCTTGAAAATACTTTTACTTGTGACCAAATTCTTTTCTAACCATTCTCAGACAGTGTATGGGAAATAACGTTAATTTCCATGTTTTGAGGACCTAAAGTAGTACACTTCTTTTTCACCCATTTTGAAGTTACTGCCTATCTCCCGCACTTTAGTACGCAGTAATTAAGTCACCGGAACTTGTAGGTGTAAATAATTTAAATTTTATTTCTCTGGACATCTAAGACCTTGACGGTGAGTAATTTCAGCAGTACATTGGTGGTTTTTAAGTTAGAGTTACTGTTATGTCCTATCCTACCCAATTTAGTTCTATATTTTATTGAAAGGAGGCTTAGGCCAAGATGAGATCAGCTATCCAAATCTTAATACAGCTGGTCCTCATATTGTTGGTGATTTTAAAGATTCTTTAGTAAAAATCCTTTTAAGATGAGAACTTTGATAAAACAATAAGGATTTGAAGCTATCTAACTTGAAGAAAATTCATGTGAAATAGACTCTTGGCAGGACTTCCTAATTCCTTATATTATTTTGTAGTGAAAAGTTTAAGATAGTCGGCTTTACATTCAAGTAGAATGGCTGTTATGGTTACATGTGGTCTACGATACACCGTTAATCAGTAATCAACATTATCTGCTGACAATTTGCAAAAATATTAAATTGGTTATTTGTGAGGTTCCGTTGGTTTCGAGGTAGTTTCTTCACAAACTACCAACTGAATTTCTTCCAGTGCTCATTATTCACTTACTTCATGGTTGCTTCCCAGAAGTTCTTACTAAAAGCAGTGACTCTCGGGGTCAACCGAGACTGAAATGACGTAGATACTAGCTGCCGATATCGCATGGTGGTAATACCATATCGTTAACTGGCAGAAATATAAACCAGTGAGTCACCTAATTCCAAATTTTTGTTTATATTTCAACTTGCTTGCTGAAAGGCTTGATGGCTCTTAACACGATTTCTAGTGACGTCGTTGATGCACACTGCAATGGAGTGCCAAACTAGGATGAAACAGCTGATCAGTTTTCTCCGACTGATTTGAATTCGTAATGAAAACTATCTCAGAATTCACCTAACCACTTTAGTCAGCTTGAGAATAACTTTTTTCACACTAAATTTTCAAGATGTCTTACTAACAGGACCAGTTTGAAGTTTGATACACACAGTGTAAGCGTTTTGCACAATACAAAATAAGGTAAACTCACTATCAGGATGTTTTCACTTAAAAATAAGTTTTCTAACTTATGTTTATTCTAACTTGCAGCATTAAATTTGGAACATAGGATTTCTGGATCGAAAGTTGTCGAATATATAAATCTAACAAGTACACAGAAAGGTAACATAAATAATGAAACGGACCCTTTTCAATTGGATTTAATGATAAATAAGTGTCAGTATTCACTTGAAGACATTGCTGAAAGTTATCTTTTAATTTAGGTCTGTCAAATAAAACGTCCACTGACGATCAGGTCTCGAGCACTAAGCAGCTTAAAATTAAAATAGCTGTAAAATATTTTGTCTTGCTAGTCTTTAACCTTAAGTGAAAAGAACCATTTCATACATACATGGAACGCGAATTCAAATGAAAGGAAACCTAAGGAAGTCATCCTTATAAATAGGTTACGACAAATTTCTACTTCCAGAAATTAGGTGCCCAATAAAAAGATCTTGAGACTTTAAAACGATGAATAAAAAGTGGGATCTTGTGTCCATCAACTATGATCATCATTTAAAGCAGTTTACCTAACGCCATTCATGCTTTCACACGTAACATCCCATGGCATTTTAACCAAATAAAAATACTGAAGTTGCAGCCTTATTTTCTTGTGTAATGTGAATAATGACCAGAATGTGTAGGTTGCAATAGATTTTAATGCATTGAAACATTGTATTACATCAAAAAAATCATTTACCTCATGAAACGCATGAATATGTACTGACTAAGCATTCTTGCAGACAACTTAAAAATCTATACACAGCGTTAACTCTCAGTTCTTTACTAGCACTGAAAAGGAGAATAAAATCTATACTACATACCTCAGATTTCAGATGTTGCCTGCAAAGATGAGAAACGAACTGACATACAGCATACATGAATATAAAAGAAAATATAAACAATTTCAGGTAATTTCATTTCATTTCCCCAAAACTCAATTAAGTAAGAACTATAATTGTCATAAATTAAATGATCAAAAATAGCTTGAGATTGTTCCTTAGTAAAAGTAAAACAATTTTTTTCATTTAGTTGAATTCAATTTATGAAATATTGTCATTTTATTGAATAGGCAGTTTCGCGTTTCTGTCCATCATTCTAATGTTTTATACATTATTCAAAACAAACCCTTGTAGGTGATAAAATCGTCTAAAGATCTTAACTATAACATTTTATGATATAACAGATGTAAAAAATAACATCTGAATAAAAACATGTTCCATCGGAACGTAAATGTTTTTGTTTTTATCTACACACTTGAAGAAGGAGATGCTTAAAGGCTGAAAAAGTTCAATTACCCTCATATTTTACGTTAATTATACCATATCAGTATTATTATTAATAGTATTAATAGTAGGTCTACTCCAAACACTATGCCTGATACGGCATGGAATTCAGCACGTAACAAATAAACAAATTTACTGCCAAAACAATATTTTATGAGAAAATGGTTACGACATCTGAATGACATTCATAATAACAGCATCAAAAGTGATAATATGAAGCAGCCGGTTGGTGCTGAATTGGCATCCGGTGTTCAGTGGTAGTGGTTCCTTAGGTCGAAAGAAGAGTGCACCATTTGAGATAGATGTTCAAAGAAAAGAAATGTGACGTATTTTTGTGCAGTCAAAAGTCCATCTCTGTCCAGTATGACACTTTCCTTCGTTTTCTTATTATTTTGGAGAACGAATAGTTTAGAGCACTTTAGAATTCCGCGGGTATGCATGATACGTTTAAAGGACATATTTGAGAGATTGAAACAAGCAGAAAGGTAGGCATCTGACATAATATGTCTGGTGTAAAATCCTCTTGACGACCCAAAGTTCGAAAACTATTACTGTTTGGTGTCGAAATCCTACCCAGTAAGACATTTCGTAATTTACAAGCTTAAGCCATACATGTAAAAACGTTTTAACAGTTAAATGTCCATCCTGATATCACTGCAGCAAAATCAACTTATATATTTTTAGTTACACATTTTAGTAAGTGCTAACATTAGGCTTCTTCAGACTTTAAAAAATTAATACACAGAAACCCTTATTGCAACACAAATACGATTACTAGTCAAGCGATTACCATTAGTAGGAATAAAGTCTGCATTATTGATTTCAGGAAACATGCAACTCATCATAAACACATCTCAAAAATCGTCAATATGTCAGTGTGATAAAAAAGTAAACACTACTTTAACTACTTAATATTTCAGTTACAAAAAGTATATTTATTCCCTGAATGTTAAGTTTTTAATAGAGTTTGAGCCGTTTTTTGAACCTCTAATGTAAGAAATTTAACTGTTTCTCAGTTAAAACACATCTGTCGACGACTAGCTTATTGGCAGTAACCAAGTTCATGTTTTATAGATAGGTATGTAGATGAGCTCCAAAAACATGAACTACTGGTTCAAAGTTTCCTGCTTATTGCCACCAGCCCCCTAATACAAACCATATACTTTTCATCATATCAACTATTTTCAAAAGAATACAAGTAATAAAATCTGATCTGCGATTTTAAAGTAATTAAACTCTTTATGTTTAGGAAGAAGAAGAATATTAGATACAGGTTATTCATTTAAAACACTCCGAGGATGGTATAAATGTTACTTATGTCTGAAGTCAGTTTTTCACTCATTGACCGATATTTGTGATACTATGCCTTCAAAGTGTGATCATAGTTCATATATAGCAGGAGAATAATTGTGAACGTAAAAAAGGGAACTGGCCTAACATTTATCGAGAAATTCTGAATGAAATTCCAAGTGTGAAGATGACTGATATTTGAAGAAATGTTTTAAAATGCCATAACTGTCTCAAAGCGCAAAAACTGATTAATGATTTAATTACACTGTCTCATAAAATTACTCCGTAAGTCATTCAGTTCAAAATGCATATTTTTGAGTCATGTTTTTTCTGTGCACTTACGAAATCAATGAAATCATAAAATGAATTCCAGCTATTGAGCTAAAATGAAATTCAACTAGACTAATGAAAGTTATCGGTGGTACCTATAACCATCGAGATTAAATGTGGAATTAACTTTGGAAAATCATGAAGTATTTAAAAATTTCAAAGATATGAAGCTATACAAGTTTTCTGAAAGTTGATTAGACTATTTAACATCGTGCTTTTTACCACACGTGTTTCTATATATGGAATAAATTAAGAAAGTTGAACAGAAACCTACTTTGCGACAGAATACAAAAAAGTAACATTTGGACTAGTTACCCCACATTATACTGAATGAAACATAAGAACATTGGATTACCAATTTTGATGAAACCACTTCAGCTATATAGAGGTAATCTTAACTGTCTTTTTATCATTAGACTGTCCCGTCATCTTATTCAGCGGCTAGGTATCATTCTTAATCATTACAGAGTTAAATGAGTCAATCATACTGCCATTGATAGAATGATCCTTCAATCTGGATTTTTATTAAACTTCAATCACAGTCCCTAAACATTATCACGAAAAGTCTTAGAGTATAACTCGAGTTAAAACGCGATATTTTCATCGCTCTTATTTCGTTTAGCATTGGATTCCAAACCATCTTGTCTAGCTAACACATGAAAAACGCATTAATTCCAAGTAATTTCATCAATACATGTTGAAAATAAGTGTTTAGATGCTGTTTGTGTTCAAGTTTCACCTTATTACTGGATATAAATCTCATAATAATTAAGAATTGAACCGGTTTCAGCAGACACTAATATAACGAATACAATAATCCTAAACGA